ATTTCGGGTTTTCAATGCGAATGCTGGCGACAACACTGGACGGTTGCGATGTGCTGCTGGGACGAGATTGGCTACAGCGTTTCAATCCGACGATCGACTGGACGACGGGGGCGATCACGGTGCTGTGCAACAAGGGGCGCGTGACACTTCCGAAATGGGCGGAGCCGGAGCCGATGACAACACGTGTCAACGCAATAACGATGAAGAGGGCGATAAAACGTGGAGCGCAAGGCTACGCCGTACAGCTGTACGAGGTGGTGGCTTCCGAAAAAATCGCCGACATCGACACGCTCTGCGCTGCTGTACCCAACGACGTGGCGAGCATAATTCGGAGGTATCCCGAAATCTTCGCGGATGACCTGCCTGACGAGCTGCCACCTCAGCGTCCGGAGGACCACAGGATCGAGCTGGAGCCAGGCGCAAAACCAACTGTTCGGTCACAGTGGCGGCTCAGCCAACCGGAGCTCGACGAGTTGCGGAAACAGCTGGATTATCTGCTTTCGAAGGGTTTTATCCGGCCGAGCACGTCACCATACGCCGCCCCGATACTGTTCACACCGAAAAAGGACGGAGGCCTGCGCATGTGCATCGACTATCGAGCGTTGAACCGGGTCACGATCAAGTCACGTTACCCGATCCCACGAGCGGACGACCTGCTGGATCAGCTTCGCGGGGCTCGCTTCTTCTCGAAAATCGATTTGCGAGGTGGCTACCACCAAATTCGCGTGTTCGCCGACGACTGCCCGAAGACTGCGTTTCGCACCCGCTACGGCAGTTACGAGTACACTGTGATGCCGTTCGGGTTGACGAACGCGCCCTCGACTTTCCAGCTCACCATGAATGGGGTGTTTCGGGACATGCTGGACAAAAAAGTTATCGTTTATCTGGACGACATCCTGGTGTACAGCAAGACTCGGGAGCAGCATTTACAGGACTTAGAGGAAGTGTTCCGGCGCTTGCAGCAGAACCGACTGATTACTAAGGGCTCTAAGTGTGAGTTCTTACAGTCGGAGCTGGAGTTCCTGGGGCACGTGATTTCAGGGGAGGGCATTAAAATTGACCCTCGCAAAGTGACGGCGATTTCGGAGTGGAAGCCGCCCACGAACATCACGGAGTTGCAGAGTTTCCTCGGCTTCGTTAACTACGTCCGCCGTTTTGTACCGAATATGGCGGGGGTGACCAGGCCGTTAACCGATCTTCTGCATAAGGGCGTGCAATTCTGTTGGGGGGAGAGAGAACAGCTGGCTTTCAACGAGCTGAAGAAAATTTTGAGTTCACCCCCGGTGCTTCGGCTGGCAGATCCATCTCGACCGTTCGAAGTCGTGACGGACGCCAGCGATTTCGCCGTGGGCGCTGTGCTACTACAGGACTTTGGCAACGGGCTGCAACCCATCGCGTACGAATCAAGAAAAATGCAGCCGCCCGAGCGCAACTATCCGGTCCACGACAAGGAAATGCTCGCCATCGTGCATGCATTTCGTACCTGGCGCTGTTACCTCACGGGAGCTGACGTCACCGTCCGAACTGACCACAAGTCATTACAATACATGCGCAGCCAACCACAACTCAATCCGCGACAAATCCGGTGGCTCGATTACCTCGAGTCCAATTTCAGCTACACCATCACGTACAAAAAGGGCGCCAACAACATCGCCGACGCCCTGACCCGACCATCAATGCAGACCGCAGCAGTACTAATCGCCCATTCTAACCCTTTATTGACAGGATTATTCAAGCATGGCTACAGGATTGACCGGTTTTTCCGGACCAATCAACACCACGGGGTCACCACGGCGCATGGGAGCTACTACCTAAAAGTCGGTACTAACCGAGTTTGGGTACCTTCCTACCGACCCTTACGAGAATTGCTGACGCAGGAAGTACACGACTCCAACCTCTCCGGGCATTTCGGCGTCGACAAAATGTTGAAGCTGCTGCAACGGAATTATTACTGGCCCGACATGGCGTCCGACGTGCAGCACTACGTGTCCGCCTGCCCGACCTGCCAAGCAATGAAGTCATCACGCCAACGCCCAGCTGGATTGCTGCAACCCCTCGAGCCACCCGAACGACCGTGGCAACAGGTGACAATGGATTTCGTCACAGGACTGCCGGCGGGCGCAAGTGGCAACGACTCGGTACTTGTCGTCGTCGATCGCTTAACGAAAATGGCGCATTTCACACCATGCCGCACGACGATCACAGCCGAAGAAACAGCGAAGCTCTTCATCTCGACCGTCGTACGACTACACGGGTTGCCATCGGCGATAATCAGCGACCGCGACCCAAAATTCACGTCGAAGTTCTGGCAGTAGACGTGGGCACAGTACGGCACCCGCCTGCAGTTTTCGTCGTCGTACCATCCACAGACCGACGGACAGACAGAGAGGACAAACCAGACGATGGAGCAGTTGATTCGCACGAACTGCCCCGACATCACCAAGTGGGAGGATTCCCTTCCCATGCTCGAGTTTGCGTACAATAACGCCCCATCTGCAACAACCAAGCAGTCGCCGTTCTACCTGAATTACGGGATAGATCCGGTAGTACCCTCGTCAACAACTCCCGATTACCCGGTACCAAGGTCGCAGCAGTTTGTTTCGGAACTACAAGCAGCGCGAGACAAAGCAGCGGAATTTATCCGGAAGGCTAATACGGCCGCCAGCCGCTACGCCGACCGACATCGACGGAATTTACCCTTCCGTGACGGGCAGATGGTCCTCCTGGACACAAAAAACCTCAAGCTGCCCCAGCCTGCAAAACTGCGTCCCCGCTACGTGGGACCCTTTCGCATCATTCGGATGCTGACACCGGTCACTGCGAAACTTCTCCTACCGGACGACTGGAAAATCCACGACGCTTTCCACGTCAGTTTACTTCGCCACTATGTGGCACCGCAGTCGTCCGACGTCGCCCGACCCCACCAGGCGCCAAGTGTCCGACCTGTGGCAGACCCGACGCTTCAACCTTGGAAGATATTGAACCATCGCATTCGTGCGACCCCCGCCGGACGCCACGTCGACTTCCTGCTACGCTGGGTGGATCGCACAAGGGACGATGACACGTGGGTCCCGGCTGACTCACTACAAGGGCACTCGGTACTTCGGCAGTATCTTTCTCGCCGACATGTGCCTGATATCGACCACCTTTCTTAAGGGGGGGGGGGGGTAGTGTAAGGAATTTCGCTAATTCCTTACTGAGGCATCTCTTACGCGTACAATTCCAACTTTCGGAATTCAGGCTCGGTCCGACGACCTCGCCTTCCGAACGTCTCCCGCGTCGCCCTCGGGTTTCCCAACCCCAAACCTGCACCCAACCTTCGCGCGACTCCGCGACCTCGGCCTAGCTAGCTGTGCTATATTATACCTAGGCCTCGTTGTTTGCTCAGTAGTTGTAATCACTTCCGCGATATTGCATTCTGCGCACTCTTCTTTCATACAACTCATAACAAGTCCACATGTTTCATCATGTAATCTTTGGGATTGCCTACCTACTACGATATTTCATTTCGAGGAGGGCTGCGTTGTCGTGGATCAAGCCGACCCAACCCACCAAATCGGGTCGAATTTGATCTCCCGAACCAATCAGACCGATTGGTTCGACAAGGCTGCCGCGACCAGCCTAATCGGTTTGCGATGAGGTACCTGAGCTGGCAAAATAATGACACAACTCGTTCGGAATTGCGTACGAGGCAAGGTGTCCGAGTAACGGCTGCGTTCTACAGGCGCATCAGCTCTGATGCGTCTGAGGCTCGGGCTGATGCGCACATTGAGATATTGAGGTTCGGAAATGACAAAATTGAAATCGATAAATTGAGGTTCGGACGAGGTTCGGACGAGGTTCCCGAAATCTTCTATTTCCAATTTTCCGAACCACGTCCGAACCTCGAATTTGGGCATGTCAGATCTCGAAATCCAATTTCCTCAAATTTCCAAAATCTTATGGGTTTCTAGGAAGTTAGACCGCAATTTTTTCTAATGGTGCCAACCAATGAGGGTTTAGGAAGAAACAAATTGACGAATGAGGGTGCTCCGCACCAGCTGATGCGCGCATCATGCGACTTCTCGGAGTTGCATGATGCGCGCATCAATGATGCGCCAGATTGCTAGGACGAGAAATTTCTCGTAAATCGGCAACATGTTAAATTTTGGTCGCCGAAAAGGCCGTTCTACAGGCATTCGGTTTTGTTTCGCTTCGGCAGCCATGCGCTTATCGCGAACCTTGATAACCTCTCGGCAGGTTATGACGGAAGTATCTCGGAACCGTGGTAGAATGCATCAATGTACATTGATGCGGGCTGATGCGCCCACAGAACGCAGCCAACAAAAAGGTCAGCGAGTTGTTGCCTCTCGCCACAAAGCCTGCAGGGAAGCGCGGTGACAATTGCGCTGGAGGTGCGTCAAGGGTGAGTCAAAATTACTCAGAAATTCTTGGTACCCCGAGCTGCAATGGTCCGGTCAGTCCTGGTCGATCGAAGTCGACCCAACCTAGCCCGATCGGGTTGGATTGCAACACATCGTAGCGTCCTTTGTTGTCCCTCTCTTGGGAAAACTTTCCCGACCCTTTGTTGTACCTGACCCTTGGATTCGCCAAATCCATGTCTGCTCTTTTCCGCAGCAGCTCGCTCCGTCGCTGTTCTGCAATGACGTAGCCGAGCTACGAACCCTCCGTCGAACCGTCCGATCGCACAATCCTGGCTCTGACCACCGCGATTGACGCATCGCAGCTTATCCCTTGACCTTGGATGTTATTTTGTGATTGATTTGATCTCCATGGCTCGTCCCTGGTGGAGCCGCACCGCTCAACGCTTCACGGCTGCCATTTCGGCGTCGCCCGTTACTACGGTAGCGACAGCCGGAGCCGCCGTCGCAGCCGCGTCGCTTGCAACAGCCTCATATCTCAACGCCGCCCCCGTCATTTTTTCGGATTATTCCGCGTCGCGATCCGCGGATTCCGCTTCCGCTCCCGCCTCCTCCATTGCAGCGCTGCACGGGAGAATGATGAGCCACGTGGCATCATGTGAGGGGGGCGCAACGGTCGCGGGATCCGCCCCCGCGGGATCGGGGGAGAGCGGAGGCGGCGCAACGGGGGATAGCGGCGCGGGGAGTGGGAAGGAGGCGGTGAGAGCGATGGGCGGAGCGGATGGCGCGGAGGGGGAGAGCGCACCAGGTGTAGGCGGAGCGGGACACCAGGCGGGATCCGCGGCGATCTTCCCACTAAAACTGCTTCAGGTACAGCCACACAGTCGCACAATCACACCGCACACAAAGTCAATCATAATCACGATCGCGAGTGGATTCACAATCCAAATGTAGAGTCGGGGTGTGTCAGTGACCGAGTAAGGGGAGGAAGACTCGTCTATATTTTCACTGGACGGTGTGTGCAAGTTGACTTCCAACTTGGCACTCGTCTACGCACATCAATCTCCCAAATTGACTTCTCACTAGTACGTGCCTTGTTCTCGTCCCCGCTTCCCCCGCTTCCCCCCCAGGTGCACGTAATGTTCCGCCACGGCGACCGGGCGCCCATGCCACGTGGCACGCCGTCAGAGGAGGAGGTGGCGCGGTGGGAGGCGAGGCTGCAGCCGCGTCCCCCAGCGCACGTGCTGCCGCACCGACAGCACACGCGGGGGATAGAGTGGCCCTTTGGCCAACTCACCAGGAAAGGTGCGCGAGCGGAAGATGTGTGGGAAACGCCTTTTACATTTTATTCTGTCTTTTTGGATTCTTGGGAACATGCTGCAGCACTGTGTGTGGTTTCATGGTTTCGGGGTTCGGGTTTTGGGAGAGAGAGAGTAGACTGTCACAGTCACAGTCACAGTCACACGAACCTGGTGTCTTTCCCCGCCTCCTGCATCTCATCTTTCCTTTCACGTGCGATGGCTGGCTGGTAGGAGCACGGAAGATGGAAATAACGTGATGCGGGGTTCTCATAACAGAGTAGTGACCCAGCTCAAACTGCGATTGCCGCACCTGGTGACGTGTCACTGCATCGCACACAGGTACGACTTCACGTTTGCGTGCTAGAAGGTTGTATGCTACTGTTGTCGCTATCTTGGCTGAGAGCGTTGTTCTCATATACGTTGCTTTGCAATCCATGCAAGGAGGCTCTTGCCGCGAAGGACGCAGCGGAAGTCGTGCCTGGCCTCGACCTGGTCGACAAAGTCGTACGGGGCGTCGCTGAGAACCTCGGTGGCAGCATTGTTGTCCACTCACGATTTATTGTGTCAGAAAGGAGTGAGTTGTACTAGGAAAGTGGTGGTACAAGTAGGAAACCCTAAACTTACTGTACCCCATAGTGACTACCCCACTACAGCCTAAACAAACTGTAGAGTCTAAGTTTGACACACCCACATAGGCAAAGTGGGGGAGAGAAAAGAGGGGGTCACAAGACCAGTCAAGAGAAGCAAAGCAAGCTCAGGGTGGATCACAACGTCACCACACATTCTGAGCGCAAGCAGACGGCCAGTTCACATGCACAGTTATATAGAACAGAACAAACAGGACAGTGATCAAAACCTAGCAAGTGAAAGCATGCAGGTATAGATATATAGATCACAGTACAAGCAAAGTAAAAAAGTGAGCAGGTGAGGCAAGGTAGGCACAAGGCCTAGAACAGTACAGAAACGCTGATGATCACAAGGCGGAAGTGCCTTGGTGAAGATATCAGCAGTGTTGGCCCGAGAGGCCACGTAAGCAAGACGAAGCTGACCGCGCTGCTGCAGCTCTCGAGCAAGAAAGTAGCGAAGGGCAATGTGCTTCGTTCTGTGCTCCAGTCTGTGCTCCTGACACAAGGCCAGCATGGCCTTGGTGTCGACGAACAGAACTGGAGGAGAACGAGGCACCTCTCCCAAGTCGGTCAGCAGGTAGGTGAGCCAGCGTAACTCCTGTGCAGCCATGGCCCCTGCGTAGATCTCAGCCTCACAGCTGGAGCCGAGAACAGAAGACGAGCGGGTAGACCGCCACGAAACAGAACCGGAGCCAAGGCTGAAGGTGTAACCCTGTGACGACCGCTGCGTAGCCAAGTCGTCAACCCAAGAAGCGTCTGCGTGACCAGTGAGGACAACTCGAGCCCGTCCTCCAAGCACTAGCCCCATGCCCGACGTACTGCACAGGTAGCGCAACACCCTCTTCGCTGCAGCCATGTGCTCTGGTCGGTGTCTCCCAGGAGCAACATAGCGTGCCAAGATGCTAAGGGGGTATGCCAAGCCAGGTCGAGTGCAGGTCATCAGGTACATGAGGCAGCCAACAAGCTCTGGGTACGGGCCACTCGGCTCTACGGACTCATCCGAAGGTAGAGCTGAGAGCGAGTGGCTAGTAGACAGAGGAGTGGCCAGAGGCGAGGAGTACGTGAAGCCGAAGCGCTGAAGGACCTGCTGCACCATGTGTGACTGAGTCAAGGTAATGGTGCGCCGTGCTCTGTCCCGAGTGATCTACAAGCCAAGATAGCTGCGCAGTTCACCCAGGTCTGTGCACGTGTGTCTCTTCTGCAGCTCCGACTTCACGTGGCCGAGTCCCTCAGTGTCAGCAGTGGCAAAGACCAAGTCGTCGACGTACACGAGGATGTAGAACGGCGGCAACGAAGTGTCGGTGCGCAGAAACAGCGACGGGTCAGCAGTTGAAGGAGCAAACCCAAGAGCCGCAAGCGTGGTCCTCAGTGTGTCGTGCCACTCACGGGGCGCTTGGCGGAGACCGTAGACTGGCCGCCGGAGGCTCCACTGAGTACCAGGAGGAAACGACCCAGTGAAGCCATGAGGGCGGCGCAGCCAGATCTCCTCGTGCAGGCTGCCCTGTAGGAAAGCAGTGCTGAAGTCAAGAGAGTGAAGCTCGTAGTCACGCTGAGCAGCGACGTGCAGCAGAACCCGAAGAGTGGTCATCTTCGGGGTCGGGGAGAAGGTCTGGAAGAAGTCAACTCCCTGTCGCTGACTGAAGCCTCGAGCAACGTAACGCGCCTTGAAGACAGGCAGAGAACCCGGCGGCCGCTTCACCCTGAAAATCCACATGCCACTGATGATGTTCGCCCCAGGAGGGGGAACCTCGTCAACGTAGGTGCCTGTGGACTTCCAGGATGCCATCTCTGCGTCCATGGCTGAATGCCACTAAGAGGAGTAGGGACCCTCTATCGCCTCTGCGTAAGAGCGCGGGGTCGGGATGTCTGGTGCATCCGGGTCTCCCTCAGGTGCAATCAGCATGGACACGAGATGAGGTACAGCGGCTGCAAAGCACTCAAAGTCCTCCTGCCTATCCTCAGGGACGTCCGTGCCAAGAGCACACTCACCCCCGATGGACGGAGGACAGACAGACTCAGACTCAGCAACCAGACTCGCGGCGTAGTCTAGACGACACCGAGCAGCAAAGTCGACAAGCTCAGCAACTAAGGCAGACGCAGCAGTGGACTCAACGGAAGGGTCAGTGACAGCAGTGGCCGGGAGACGTGTGACAGTAGGACTGGCAGCACGAAGGGAGTCAGACTCCGGGTCAGCAAGGGCAGGAAGAGAGGACGCAGGAGGAGATGGCAGAGGGACACGCTGTGGAGCAGTGGAAGGACGAAGTGCCATCTGGTGCGTGCCTCGGACCGTAGGAGGACGCTAACGTGGAACACGACGACCAGTGCGAGCAGCACGAACAGGCGACGCAGGACGGGACTCAGGCTCACGACGCTCAGTAAGACCTCCGGTCGGACCAGTGTAAGGAGAAGGAGCAGGCAGTGGGGACGCAGGCTGTAACAGTGACTGTGACTGGGCAGGCGGTGGACACTCTAAGGAAGGGGCAGGACCAGTAGAAGGCGGGAGACCAAGAACCTGCTGAAGGAGCGGAACGAAGTACGGTTGCGGCTGCTCAGCGCCCCCAGAACCAGCAGAGACAGCACCAGCACCCTCAGCGACGGCTCCAACTCCCGCAGCACCTCCAGCAGCTCTTATAGCGCCAACTCCAGTACCCCCAGGAGCACCCGCACTAGCAGCACCGTCAGCTCCAGTACCTCCAGTAGGAAAAGCGGCAGCGCCTCCAGCTCCAGCCCCTGAAGTACCACTAGCCCCAGCACCTCCAGTGGCCCCAGCAGCACCTCCAGCGCCAACCCCAGGGTCGGCAACGACACCAGTACCAATAGCTCCAGCGCCCTCAGCTCCAGCTCCAGGAGCACCCCCAGCTCCCACAGCACTACGTCTGCGGCGACAGTGCTGAGAGTACCACTCACGCAGCTGCTGGGACGAGAGAGCGCCCCCAGGCGCAGGACCCCCAGGCTCAGGACCTCCAGGCTCAGCACCCCCAGGCTCCGCACCCCCAGGCTCCGCACCCCCAGGCTCAGCACCCCCAGGCTCCGCACCCCCAGGCTCCGCACCCTCAGGCTCAGCACCCTCAGTCTCAGCACCCCCAGTCTCAGCACCTCGAGGCTCAGCACGCTCAGGCTCAGTACCTCGCGCAGGACCAGAGTCGACAGCTACCTCGACACGCTCGACTGGGTCTACCTGGGACACACCTGAGGGAGCAGGACCCTGGGGAGGTAGGGGGTCTACCGAAGCAGCACCTGGCATAAGGAAGAGCGGCGGAGGGGGGAGCGGGGCAGTGCGGTAGGGGAAGAGACGGTAAAAGGGGACCGACTCGTCAAACGTGACGTCCTGAGAGGACAGAACATGGCGCGAGGTGGGGTGGTAAAACTACCAACCAGGCGCGTCAGAGGGGAAGCCAAGGAAGACGCAGGGAACGGCGCGGGAGGAGAGCTTGTCCGCGGACGTATCGCGGACAAAGGCACGAGATCCCCAGACCCGTAAGACGGACGCATCGCCAACCTCTCCCTTCCAACGCAGTGTCGGCGAGGTCTCCGGAACGGAGACACGGGGCCAGAGGTTGAGCTGATGCGCGGCGGCCACAGAAAATGGGGGGCAGCCGCATGGATCAAGGAGGTACGAGCGACCTCCATGACCAAGCCAATGCGGCCCTCAGCAACCCCATTTTGTTGCGGAGAGGCCGGAAGCGTGAACGTCTGCTCAATGCCCTCCCCCTGACAGAAAGCCCTCAAAAGGCCGGAGGAAACTCACCACCTCTGTCAGAGTGCAGTCGCAGGACGGGAAGGTCCGTGTGAAAGCGCCTCTCCAGCTGGAGACGGGTAGCGCGGATCCAAGGGATCAAGACATCAGGGACCTCACCCTTGGTGCGCAAGGGGAAGACCGTGGTGTAACGCGTGTAGTCGTCAACTACCAGCAGAAAGTAGTGCTCTCCGCCCTGTCCACGGACGCGGGCTGGGCCCCACACGTCCATGTGAAGGGTCTGCAGAGGAGCCTCCGTCGGGGGGAACTCAGAGGAGTGGGGGGCAGCACCCTGCCGCCCCTCGACACAGGGAAGGCAAGGAGGGGATGGGGACTGTGGCAGGGGAGGCAGTGACCTGGGGAGACCAGAGACAAGGTACCGGGAGTGATGCCACGAAGGCGCTGCATCGAAGGGTGACCAAGGCGGTGATGCCAGAGGACCGTCCGGTGCGACAAGGTGCGACACGAGTAGGGGGCGGACAACTGACCTGACGCTGACGCAGACGCAGCTACCTGAGGGGACTCAGTGGTCAGTGTGTACAAGTCCGACCCCGGCTGCCGAGTGAAGGTAGCCAAGTGACGACCCGTCTGAGCACACGTGCAGTGTGTCACACGCTCGTAGGCAGGGGTGAACTGGTGAACACCCGCGTCCTGGAGCGCGGACCCCGCCACCAAGTTCGTAGAGAACGAGGGGAGGTAAAGACCAGACAGCGTGCCGGACGGGACAGCAGGACAAAGGAGGGCAGTGGTGGAGGTCGCAAGGACCGGACCCCCGGAGGGGTCAGCCAGGGAGACAGCAACAGGCCTAGGGAGATGCGCTAGATGTCACCAAATATGCACTTTGTGCATATGGGATGACAGTGTTGCGCGGGTGTAGATTGTGGTGTAGCGAATGTTGGAATGGAAGTTGAGGTTGAGTAGGGGGAGGACGAATTTGACGTTAGGAATGGGAGGGAAAGGACCGAGGGGCGAAATGCATTGAACCAATCAGGGAGGACCAGCCCAAACTCGAGCCGCACATTGTGAAATGTGCGACTTGAGCCTGGGCAAGGTAAGTTCAGTCAGGAACATCCAGTCCATGCTTTTCGCTTGTTATTCTCTCGTCATAGTGAAATCAGTTGCTCTAGATCCTACATCCAGCAGCACGCCACTAGGAGGGAACCTACGGGGTGAGGGAGGGAACTTCTTCATAACAAGCGAAAAGGGCGCATCATCGCATGAGCATGGACAAGCACGAGCGGCGATGGGGCAGGCAGTATAGTCGCCGTGAGAAGGAGGAACGGCCGCGGCGCGAGCGCTCGCAGGAACGCGGGCGCTCACTGGAACGATCGCCGCGGAGGCCGGCTTTCCGCGCTGATCGGGTCCTCCAAGGCCAGATGGACGTGGAGGAGGTTCGGCCCGGGATGAAACCGGTGGGGCGGGATCCGCCATGTCGAGAGGCGATCCGTGGCGGACGGATGCGCGCGACGGATCTGGAGGCGATCGTCGATATCGCCGTGACACGAGGGCACATCCCTCGCCGGAAGAAGGGTACCGCTGACGCGGAGAAGGCGACCGCGCGCGAGGCCTGCCAGGAGGGCATCTTGGTCGACGAGGAGATCTCGAGACGGACAGCGAAGAGGAGAATTCCCCCGTGGGGAAAATGCGCGAGGAAGGCCGCGGAGAAGGCGCGGACGAGGGCAGCGAGGATCAGCGACGCCAAGTGGAGGACGCCAGTGGGAGTCACGGCTCCACCGCTGGAGCCGACGAGGCTGACGCCGCGCGGGCGGACAACACGACGGACCAGAGCGAGGCGAAGGCCGACGGGCCAGAGGGCGCACGAAAGGAGCAGCGAGAGGAACGCCGCGACTGTCAGGAGGGAGATCCCTCGCCCGACCTGCGACAGCAGGACCGAGGAGAGCGGAACACGGAGTCGCGCGTGTCCGGGCAGCGAGGACGACGCGGAGGAGGACGAGATGAACGGTCGCGTCGGCAGCGCGGAGCAAGGCGAGGCGAGGGATCGCGCTCGCCCGATCCGCAGCAGCGACGCGATGGGTGGCGCGGTGGCGGGGAGCGCTCGCCAGATCCGCATCCGCGACGCGAAGGGTGGCGCGGCGGCGGGGAGCGCTCGCCAGATACGCATCCGCGACGCGAAGGGTGGCGCGGCGGCGGGGAGCGCTCGCCAGATCCGCATCCGCGACGCGAAGGGTGGCGAGGCGGCGGGGAGCGCTCGCCAGATCCGCATCCGCGACGCGAAGGGTGGCGCGGTGGCGGGGAGCGCTCGCCAGAGCCGCATCCGCGACGCGAAGGGTGGCGCGGCGGCGGGGAGTGCTCGCCAGATCCGCATCCGCGACGTGAATGGTGGCGCGGCGGCGGGGAGCGCTCGCCCGAACTGCACCAGAGACGTGAAGGATGGCGTGATGTCAGGTCCCCCTTGCCAGATCTGCGCAGGCAGCGGGAAGGAGCACGTGATGAGGAATGGCAGTCGCCGTACGGCCGTCGGTAGCGTGGAGGAAGGAGAGACGAGAGGTCACCATCGCCAGAGAAGCATCGGCGTGAGACGCGGCGGGAAGAACGGGCGAGGGCAGACCACTCGCCGGATGGGCAAGGTCAACGCACGGAAGGGCGCGCGAGCTCGTGGGATCTGCATAAGGAGGCGAGATGGGACCAGCGGGGAAGCAAGGTCGGCGGCGGGAGTTTGGCATATAGTGCGGAACGAGCCAGGGAGGCGAGGGAAGGAATAGAGAGAGCAAGGGAAAGGGGGACACACGGAAGGCAGGCCAGAGCAACAAGCGAGTCCTGGGGAGAAGGTCGAGGGAGTGCGGCGGCGGCACCACGTGTGGAGGTCCCGGCGAGGTTCTCAGGAGATCAACGTACGGGGCCCTCGCTCAAGAATTACCTCATGCAAGTGGGAAACGTGCGGTATCGGTGTGACAGGAGCGGCATGGACCCGGTAGACTTCTTTCTGAGCCTACCTAACACACTGGAGGGGGAGGCGGAGACATTGTATCGGATGAGGAAGGATGAGCTGCTGCGGAGGGCGGGAAGGCACGGTGAAGACCCCACGGAGGCGTTCCTCCGCCGGCTGCAGCGACAGTTTCCGGGACACACTGCAGAACGGATAAGGGAGTTTCATGACTTTAAAAGGGGGCGGATGGAGTCATTGCTCACCTACTATAACCGGCTGATCAACGTGGCGGAGGACGTAACGTGCACGGACACCAGCCTCCTGATTAGCAAGTTCTTGGGGGGGCTGGACGAGAGCTTGGGGGGTGGCCTAAGGATGAGGGTGTATGAGTTGGGGGCAGATGCGAGCCTAGAAGAGGTATTCGAGCTAGCGGAAAAGGTGGAGCTCGCACAAAGGAAGTATGAAGCATACCTGCCCAAGTCGTCAGAGCGCAGCCGCAGGCCGACATGGGCAGCAGCGATGATTCCCGAGGACACTACCAGAACCAGCACCTCCACTAGCGACACCCCCGGGGCCTCCAGTACCTCCCGTAGGAGCACCCCCAAGCTCCGCAGCAACCGGCCGCAGAGGAGAACGAGGAGGGAACTGTGGGACGACCGGGAAGCCGGGGGGTGACGAGGGGCGAGGCCGCCGACTCGAGGCTGCCGTGTCCTCCACAGGAGTGACCTCCACGCCCACACCCACTGCACCCCCTGAACCGACACCACAAGCTCCTGCAGCCCCAGCACCCGCACCCTCCGCAACTGCACCTCCCGCACCCCCAGACACGACAGGGACTGGACGCTGCGGGGGGGACGACTGCGGAGTGACGTGCGACACACCTGACGGGGCAGGACGCGAAGCGGGGGGGGCTACCGGGGCGACTGGGGGGGGCTCAAGGGTGAGGAACAGCGGGGGGGAAAAGACCTCAGTACCTCGGTGGGGGCGACTCCTGTAGTAACAGACAGACTCGTCGAACGTGACGTCCTGAGAAGCGAAGAACCCGCAGGTGACCGGGTCGTAGAACACCCAGCCGGAGGCGTCCAAAGGGAAGCCAAGAAAGACGCAGGCACGAGTGCGCGGAGACAACTTGTTCGCGCCACGGGCGCGAACGTGGGCCAGACAACCCCAGACGCGGAAGTCAGCTGCTACGCCCTATAAACCTGACCAGAGAGAGACCGGCGTCACCCGTGGCCGTGCGTCACTGGGCCACAGGTTCAGCTGGTGCGCGGCGTAGCGGACTGCCTGAGGCCACAAGAACTGAGGGGCACCGGCATGGCACACGGAGGTCCGAGCAACCTCCATGACCAGGCCGATGCGACGCTCGGCTACCCCGTTCTGCTGCGGCGAGGCTGGTAGCATGTACGACTGAATGACTCCCCGACCCTGACAGAACGTCTCTAGGCGAGTGGAAGAGAACTCACCACCACGGTCCGAGTGTAGGCGAAGCCCACACAGGCCTTGGGCGCCACCCCACGCTAGGAGCCACGGCTCGAGGACGGTAGGCACGTCGGCCTTCCGTCGCAAGGGGAAAACCGTGGTGTAGCGGGAATAGTCGTCCACCACAATCAGGAAGTAGCGTTCCTGACGTGGGCCAAGGACAGGGGAGGGGCCCCAAACGTCCAAGTGCAGGGTCTGGAAGGGAGCCGTGGTGGGGGGGAATGAGGAGGAGTGAGGGGCGGCGCGCTGCCGACCCTCGACGCAAGGAGTGCACGGCGGCGCAGGCAGGCGAGGAAGCGGGGCAAGCGACGCTGGGAGACCTGAGACCAGACGGTGACGTACCATCCTACTAAGACGTGGGAACGACGGGTGACCTAGACGGTGGTGCCAAAGGACTGACGGGTGGGCGAGTGACCGACAGTCGCACGACACAGCAGCTACCTGACCTGACCTGACCTGACCCGACTCAGTGTGGTGGGACCCAGTGTGTAGTGAGTACAGACCAGATCCCGGCTCTCTGTGGAAAGTGGCCAGAGGCGCCCCAGTGGCACCGACAGTGCAGGAGGCAACAGGCTCGTCCAGTGGGAAAGTAGTGACTACGCCTAGGTCGTGGAGGTGACTGACACCCACCAGGTTCCTAGAGAACGAGGGGGTGTAGTAACCTGTAAGAAAACCTGAGGGAGCCGCCGGACACGGAAGAGTGGTGGTGCTGCTAGCAACTACAGGTCCCACAGAGGGGTCAGCCAAGGCGACAGTGACTGGAGTGCGCAGTGGTGTGAGGTCGGTACAGTCGCGAAAGAAACAGCTGGACGCTCCAGAATCTAGGGTGAAGGAAAGCTGTGCAGTCTGTGGGGTCGCACCCGAACCAGCTACAAAGGCTAGTGCTAGACTAATGGTAGCTGCAGCTCCTACACAAAGACCCTCAGAGGCGCCTGGACTGGAAACAACACACGCACCAAGACTGGAAACACAGGTCTCTACTCGTGCAGCCGGAAAAGGTCCTAGACCAGGCAGGTGAGACTCAACTGGTGCAGTAGTGCGCTGGCGAAGGCGCGAAGGCCAGTGCGGTGTAATAGCGTGAGGACCAAAACGCTCACGGTGGAGGTCGTCGAGTCGACGGTAGCAGCTGGACGCAGTGTGGTCAGGACTCCAGCAGGTAGTACCAGCACCAGCGCCTGTCAGGGCCCGGTACCCGCAGGGGCCGACGTCTTGCCCACTGCTAGCTGAGCCACTACTGGGGGCGCCACACTTTGGACCCGCAGGCCCCCACTGACGGGAGTGCTGCTGGCCCTGCTGCTGTAGAACCCTAGTACATGCCATGTGAGCCTATGCTGCTGCTGGTTCTGCTGGGGGCAGCCTAAGCTGCTGCTGGTGCGCTGGGGGCAGCCTGTGCTGCTTCTGGTTCTGCTGAGGGGCAGCCTAGGCTGCTACTGGTTCTCCAGGGGGCAGGCAACGCTGCTGCTGGTGCGCTGGCGGTAGCCTAAGCTGCTGCTGGTGCGCTGGGGGCAGCCTATGCTGCTACTGGTTCTCCAGGGGGCAGCCAATGCTGCTGCTAGTGCGCTGGCAGTTGCCTAAGCTGCTGCTGGTGCGCTGGGGGCAGCCTATGCTGCTGCTGGTTCGCTGGGGGCAGCCTATGCTGCTTCTGGCTCTGCTGGGGGCAGCCTTAGCTGCTACTGGTTTTGCTGGGGGCAGCCAATGCTGTTGCTGGTGCGCTGGTGGCAGCCTATGCTGCTTCTGGTTCTGCTGGGGGCAGCCTACGCTGCTGCTGGTGCGCTGGGGGCAGCCTATGCTGCTGCTAGTGCGCTGGCGGCAGCCTATGCTGCTTCTGGTTCTGCTGGGGGCAGCCTACGCTGCTGCTGGTGCGCTGGGGGCAGCCTATGCTGCTGCTGGTGTTGCTGGCGGAAGTGTAATCGGCTGGGGCTACTGGCGGCGGGTGTGGCAGCTCGTGGGGAGGCAGGTTTCGGGTGGGGAAGCTGTTAAGGCAGCGGGCAACGGGTGAGGCCGCGATTCTGTGCGGTTCTGTGCGGTTATGTGCAGTTCTGTGCGGTTCTGTGAGGTTCAATGCGGTGGAGAGGACTGGGTGGGGCGGCTGATTCCGGGTGAGGTGCCTGGAACGGGTGGGGCAGCAGGTTTCCAGGTGGGGCGGCGGTTGTCAGGGCTGCCAGATCCGTTTTTGGTGACAGCACTGCGGCAGGTCACCCTTGTGAAGAACAGGGTGCTGGCGACTGTGGGGACAAGCAGTGGGTCCCCTACACCAAGTGGTATGGGAGTGCACCAGCAGTCAACATGCTGAGAGCCTATGGCTGCATGGTGCTGTTTCATGTGCCTAAGGAGATGAGGGGAAATCTGGAGGCTTTTGGGAGATGGGGCGTGCACTTAGAGCTTGCGAAGGACCACAAGGGCTGGTTGATATGGGACTTGACCAGCCAGCAGCTGACTGTTTCAAGGGATGTGAAGTTCCTTGAGTCCTTGTACTACAAGGAGTGGAAGTAGCAGCAACAGAAGCTTCCTGCTACACCATTGATGTTGAGGCCGATGAGGTGCAGCGGCCTTCAAGAGAGGTGGAGGTTTCTGTGTCCAAAGAGGAAATCTCTGGGGTAACTGAGGATGGGGGAGAACCTGAGGTGGTGGAGGAAGAGCAGCAGCAGCAACCGCAGCAACAGCAGCAGCAAGCAGCCGCAGCCGTAGGAGCAACGTGCTCCGTCACGTGCCCCATGTCCGCCTGAGCGTCCTAGGAGGGATGTGCGCCCACCTGTCAGACTGAGCTATAATCGTAGTGGCTCACGGAATGTGGAGCATGCTGGAAGTGTGGCCGAGCAGTGTGATGAGGATGAGATTGCGCACTGCTACTAGGCAGCAGTCCCTGAGCCCAAGACGCTTGCCGGGGCCTTGAGTGGGCCCGATGCTGAGAAGTGGAAGCAGAGTGTGAAGGAGGAGTATGACTCTCTGTTAGACAATGAAACGTGGGACTTGTGTAAGCTACCTCCTGGGAAGAAGGCCATTTCTTCCAAGCTGATCTTCAGGCATAAATATGGACCAGATGGGGCGATGACCCGCTACAAGTCAAGGCTTGTGGCTAAGGGGTTTCAGCAGACAAAGGGAAAGGACTTCGACGAGCTCTATGCTCCTGTGGGGAAAGGGACAACGCAGTAGACTTCAATGTGCCTAAAACGAAAGATAGAGTGCACAGTCGGATTTCTGCACGGCGGCTTTAAACGTTCATAGCGTTCTGGTCACAGCTTCAAATGACCTGATTCAACTTGGATCTGGAGCGTCTTAACGTCACCTACAGCAGGCAATTTAGATCGCACTATTTCGCCAAGTATTGACGACACAGCGTCGGTTTGAACGAATGGC